CAACCAACTTCCATCGCTGCAGCAGCTCGCCGTGGTCTGCTGCGAATGGTTCGATTCGTGTCACCTCACGCAGGAGGGCAACCTCCAGGTCTTCCCTCCATGCAACGTACTTGGCTGGTGGTCGAGGTTGTGGGTCAACCATTGGAGTGAATTCGAAGTAAATGTATGAACAGTTCATCTATTACGTCCAGCAAGCACAATCCACCACCCATTGCATTTTGATGTATTTTGATTGGCTTAGACATTTCGGTAATTTGAAGCTCAAATATACGGAATGGTCATGCGATTTCGTATATTTGAGCCAAATTCCGAGCGGAATGTGGCCTTCACGAAGTTCGTAGCTGTGAGTAACCCGAAGTTTGATTTTGGTAATTTCAAATTACGGGTTTGCTAAACTAGCACGCTGTCGTGACAGTAACGTCCAACACCGCCACCTTGATGTCATATACTACGTAGTACTTACTTACTATTAATAGTACACACTTCGTATCGTCGGAGTACTGTCTGTAGTAACGAACGTTGTATTACTAGTATTCCACTGTAACAGTTAGTTAACATTGGGCTCGCGCCAAGCCAAAGCAGTTGGCGTAGTACGTGACCGTGCCTGGCCAGTCGGTAAAGATACCTCGGAGGCCAACGTCCTGGGCTAGCACATGCAGTGTCACGAGGATATCTGACTCGCGCGTGATGATCGAGTTCAACGTCTGGTAGTACCATCCTCCATGGTCCGGGTTGGTCATAAACCCCGACCGTTCCAGCGACCACGCGATCAAATCGAGGCCGACGGCTTTGGCATCGATGGCAGCTTGCGATGGAGCGATTTGGCCGTCTTTGGCCTGCAGGAGCACCCAGATGGGGGGCGCCCAGATGTTGATTCCGGACGCTTTCCAAGACGCCAACGTGGCTTTGGATGGTACGTCTTTGATCGTATCGGCGCTGTCCAGGTACACGGCGGTAGCGCCAAAGCCGTCCGGGTAGCTCGTAGTCAAGTACGCCAGGTCTCCCAATATGAACGACTGGATAAACACATCCGACGCGTTCACCTTGAGCGCTTGGTACTCGTCGACGATCTTTTGCACAAAATCTGCCCGTGTAAACCCGTCATAAGGCCACTCCACGACGGCTTCCTTGGCTTCGGGGGTCATCTTCACCCCCAATTGCTTGAACAACTCGATGCTTTCCTTGTGCGTCATGAGGGTCCCCCCCTTAGCGGGGGGCGTATACAGGTCGGTTCGGAACAATGGCGTCCCAGCCACGTATTCCTCCACCGTGAGCGCGTTCTCGTTGGCTCCGTCCATCTTTCCCACGAGGGTTTTGAATTCGGCTAACGTGATGTCGGTGGTTCGGCATTCCGCGGTAGCTGGCGATTTCGTCGCGGGGTCGTACGGGGTAAACGGCTTGAAACATTTCGCGGCCAGCGGGGTCAAGAGAATGTTGGTGGTAGTGTGCAGATCGTTCTGGGCGTGCCGACACACAAGCTCCTTGTCTTTGGTGAACGTGACGTCGCACTCGATGATGCCGGCGCCGGTCCGCGCCGCCGCGACGTACGATTCGCGGGTATGTTCCGGGAACTGGAGCGCGGCCCCGCGATGGCCGATGGAGAAATCGCTGGGCACCATCCGGTCATCTGCGCAAGACTCGAGCTTGGTCTTGAGTGCGCCTTCAGGCAGGTTGTCGATCAAGTAGTACGGGCGAGGGCCCGTGGTTGCCTTCACGATTGGGCGTGTGGTAGACGCAGTGACCAACGAACATGTCAACGCGAGCAACAAGATAGTAGCGGGTACTTTCATTGTTAACTACCCGTACTTGTGAGTTGGTGAATGAGAAGTGAACACACAGCACATCTTCACTTTGGGTGCATCTTCTCTTTGGGTGTTTTCGCAGACAACCATCGATCTTCTTCCTTGCTTCTTTGCTTGGCTTGGGCAGATGTATAGATACCAATTTTAACTGTAATGTTCGTGATTGATTTCTCACAGGGGTATCTCATAAGAGTAAATTATAGAGTTGTTTGGGTAACCTAACGTCGAGGTGTACTAGTACTTGGAGCGATCCATGTGACACTTTGTCACCACAACATATGCATGCAATGGACCAAAGCGATTGGACGCGTCACCTCGCGCTGGCGAGTGTTGGACGAATTCCCTCGTTCAAGTACTGAGATCGTTGATTCGCAAATTGGTTGGCTGGGGAAAACTGGGAATTGTGCTTGGATCAATCAAATTGCAATCCTTTTGTGACGGACACTAAAGCATGAAAGGGCATACTATGACATATGGAGGCTGGGCTGGGACATGCCCCAGTTACGCACTACTAGTAGTACTACTCGGCAAACAGTAATGTTTGCACGACTGCGGACGTTCCTACTAAGATTAGTACTACTACGTAGTAGTAGTACTATAATAGCATCCGAGCACATCGTCCGCCTTTGGATCGAGTGCCTCGACAAACACTTACTATACGTGTAGTAGTCGGCATCTCGAACCGAGCTATCATTAACGGTAAAATAGTTCCACTGTTGTTTTGACCCGAAATACTGTTTGAATGAGGGAATTACGGTAGTTATGATGCACGTCATCTAAAAACTTCCAACTGGCCAAATCGAAGAGTAGGTTTTATTATTTAACGAACAATTAATGTAGTACTTCGAAGTATTGTAATTGGAATTTGCACGACCACCATCGTACAGATACTGATTGGTCATAATGCTAGATTCCTTGGATATGATTGGCCAATTGGTTTAATGTGAGCGTCGACCGAGGCATGGCCCATAGAGCTTCGCGTCATGCTGCTTTCGAGTGCCAAGACAAGGTGCATATCGCGGCTAGTTCACCTAAGTGTATATATGTAGAAGTCATATATTGA